GCTGAACCAGCCCTTTGTAGAACTATTATCTTTCCCGCTTCTGTAAACATTTTGTTATGTTATGGACTTACCTTATTCATTCAGTGAATTCTCTTATCCTTAAAACTTAAGTGTTGTTTGTTATCCATGCTGGGCATGTCTACATGTTCATTAATCTGCATTAAATTTAGTACCTCTACTGTGAGGTACCAGAAAAGGTACATTAGACTATTTTAATATGCATTAGTGAAAGTGTAGTTTTTTGTGATGCTTTAATGCACATTAAAGTGCATGTGTAGACACACCCACTGTGTACTTGTTCTTAGTTATTTTTACCATAAGATGGTACATTCTTTTTTTGGACATTCTTTTTTTAATTCATTTTTTAATTCATACTTGCCTTTTAGTTTTTAAGTGCTCAGATAAATGATTTGAGTTGCCATGGGAGAGTTGAGCAATACTCTAGGAACCTTGAAGTAATACAAGAAAATCTTTCACTTGTCTCAGATATTCACATCACCTTCAGTTTTCATCTGCTGAAATCTCATTGGTTTTGGATAGAGCTTATTTTGTCTGTTAAAACAAAAAAGCTTTATTAGCTCAGCTTTTAACTTAATACTGCTTACGTACTAATTGGGTTAATTAAAAGAAGACTCCAAAATACTTGAAGAAGGAATATTTTTTTAAATGATGAATTTCATTAACAGCAGTCCATTTACCAGTTATCTCAATGTAAAAATACCTAGAGGAATATATTCACTTAAACACTTTCTATGTTTATATCCATTAATCCAGTAAGAAGACTTTGTCATAATAGCTATATATGTGCTCCTATATATGTGTTTCCTCTTATAGTGAACTTTCTGTACTCTAGATGAAAGGTTTGTGTTTATTGAAAGACTCCTTTTTGTTTTGTTGAACTATGAGGCATTTAAAAAATCTTAAATTTGCACAGCAATACATTATTTTTCTTTTTGTTATTGGTATTTGTCATAAGAGTAATTTGAGTAAATTAGGTTGTGTAATTTATTTGAGAAATTCAACTATATGATACAGAATCCAATAAATGTTGTTGTATGTCTTATTTTTATGGATTTGTGTGTGTTATGCATTAATTATTTAACTCTTACCAGAAAACATTCAGGTGCCAAAAAGGCAATTGAAATTTCAGTCTTCTGCTGTCTGAATTTCAGTCTGTTGAAAGAATGAGAATGTTGCATTTTGTTGAAGTATTGTCCAACCGAGCAATAACAATTAAATGTATTACCTTTAGGGAGAATGATTTTCACAAACATTAATTATCATAAAGAATTATTATATTGCTGAATCACTATTCAAATGCAGTATCCTGTGCTGCTTAAAAATCTGAATCCAATTAATTCATGTAATTATAGAACAGCTGGTTGTATTTAGTCTATAAATATTGCTTAAATATGTGCGTGGGTCATTAGAATCAGGTGTTATAATCATCAGTCGCTGCATTAGATAGAAAATCAGTCAAATGTAACAATGGTTTTAAAGATATGGGAATCGTTATTTCAAAATATGACACATTTCATCAATACTCTAACCTGGTATCGATGTTTCCATTGTATAGGAAAACACAACCTAATACAAACTATTCCTTTATTATCAAACAAATACCAAAAGTAAACTAGAAACAAAATTGTTTTGACAAATGTCTTGCCATGTTCAAGCCATTAATTTTAATTATATGGAAAATCTTAATGTTCTCTGAGATTTTTTTATACATTTCAGGAAAATGCAAGTGAATTCTTTTTTTATTCTTTTCTCAGCTGCAGATAAGGATGACAGTTCTGAAGACATTTCAGTGCCAAGTAGCCCACATACAGAAGCTATTCAACATAGTTCTGTCAGCACTTCTAATGGAGTAAGTTCAACCTCCAAGGCAGAAGCAGTAGCCACATCAGTTCTCACCCAGATGGCGGACCAGAGTACAGAGCCAGTTCTTTCACAAATTGTAATGGCTCCTCCTTCCCAGTCACAGCCTTCAGGAAGTTGATTAAAAACCTGCATTACAGCAGTTTCTTAGATATATGTTTTTGACTTCAAAGGGAAATCAAGAAAAGACCAGTCTTCACCTAGGAGAAATCTGTAGTTTAAAATTATTCATTTTTAAAATTCAGATTTAAATTTGGCTTTAAAGATTGGCAGATGAAGATGAGACTGAAAAGTAGTTTCCAGTCTCTTTGCAAAAGACTGATTTTTTAAAAAATATTAGATTTACTAGTTATTTTCTGTGCTCAATGTGTAAAGTGTGTGTACAGTACAATGTGGTTTATTTCATTTTTAATTTGGTTTTATTTCAACAAACATTGGGGTGAATTACTAAAGCTCGTTCCCAAGACTGTGATGATAATATTGTTATGTGACATTTTATACCAAAGTTCTGCATAGTCCCTATTGACTTTGTAATGTTAACAAGGTCATAAAGCACTAGGCAAGAGAAAAGACAGTAACAGTAAATTTGCTTTTAGTCTTTTTGCCTTTTTATTGTTTTGCACATTATGAGAGAGAGAACATTGGGAGAAAATGTTTGCTTATATTATGTATAGCATTTTGTTTGGCTTTTTAACTGTTGATTTTTTGTTTATTCGTTCAACAGGGCCAGTACAGTATATGAGATACAGTACTCTTATGCACATACCTAACCTAGATGAGGGTCATTACTTATTAGATTTTTTTTTAAACTGATATCAATTTTTTCAACACTTTTTCCTTTTTAAGGAGAGGAGCTTTACTTCTTTAATCAGAACAAAGTTCTGCAGCTAGCCTTTGTTACTAGCTTAATAGGAAACAGTAAGAAGATACTGTACAATTACAGGGATCTCAGATATGGAAGAGTTTCAAAACTAGTTTGATATTTTGTGGATTTTTGAGTTGCAGACTAAGGAGTTCATTCATACAAGTATATGGTCTAGATGCCAGAAAAGTCTAAAAATCCCTCGTTAGACAGCTCAAGACTTTTTTTTTTTGTCATTGTCTTGTATTTGCAAGCTATCTTGTACTTAATTCTTGTGTAAGCACTGTCATCTTTTAGTAGCAAAATTTTGATACCTTGTGGAAAAAATCAGTATCTACCGTATCTTGGAAACAATGTAATTATAATGTGATGTGTGTGGCGTGTGTGTGTGAGAATGGTTCAGTAGTTTATGCCGGCAATCTTTGCTTGAATGTTTAAAGATGCCTTCAATGTGATGCTGGCTGATAGATGATTGCAGTTTTAAAATGTTATTTACTGTGCGAACTTGGATAACTAACATTCCATGATGTAGTTTGTTTCTGATGAGATGATTGTAGGTACACTTTTTCTCATTATCCAATCATCTGTAGGATATTGAGTTTTTTAAATGTGCCATTATCTATTTTGATTCTGTACTCATGTTCAAACTACAGTACAAGATTTTACAATAGATTAAGTTGTAAAAAAAAAAAGTAGATGTGTGCTTTCAGGTCAGAAAACTTTGTATAATAGCAAAAAAAGATACATAGTAGCAACTTCTGGCTAAGACAGGATTCCATTATGTATATAACAAAGATTTAATGCATTTATAATGGGTTATGTAGTTCATTTGCTCTTCCTTCTTCATCTACAAGTCTCAGTGCCATCAAATTCCTTATGAGATTCAGTTTTAAATCTACATATAATTGGTAATACAGAGGAAGAACATAATTTGTATAATATACAACCATACTATAAGAAAAACTGGACAAAGAGTTATCTAAATTGTGTATATATCATTTCAGTGCTTTAAGTGTGGAAATAATAGGATATTTTGTATTTTAAAAATAAGGAAATAATTTGAGTTAATCTCATATTTTTAAGCATTCTTACTTTAACCATTTCACATAAAAGGTATGACTTAATTACTGAAAATTTCCACAATGATGAACTCTACCTTAAGTCTGGTGAGAAAGGAATTGATCTTAAAGGCACAAAATGTGAATTTTACCAGAAAGTTATACAGTCATTTCTCTTCATTGTAATTTTGGTGGACTAGATAAAGCCTCATTGTTTGTTGTTGTTTTTTTATTTGCTCTCCTAAACACTACAGTTTTTTTCATTTTATTTATATAAGTGAAAGTTTTTTTAATAAAACTGTTGCGCTTGTAAAATAAGTCTACATAAGTGTGTAGGAGACATGTAAACAGTTAACGAATTTAACAATGGGGTTGGAAAAGAACCATTATAAACCTATCTGTGTTCAACAAATAGAAACAAGTTAATAGTTGTACACCATGAATTCCGTTTTGAGAGATGTGTCACACTACTTCTGTACTTAGCATTTGGGTCTTTACATTTGACATGTTTCACAAACTGTACTGTTTTCTTTTATGTGCAGTTTGCATGAGTAAATCATCAAAGAGAATAAAATCTATCTTTAAATTATGTTCCTATTTTAATGAAATTATAACTGTTCTAAGCAGATTTCTTTCTCTCTTAATTATTGCCATTTTTTAAATTTTTTTGTAGAACCCATTACCATTGTGTATAAGAAACATCATGTAAATGTAGAAGATCATCAACTTTTTCTAGAAAAGGAGTCAGGTGTCATTCTTCTACCACTGGATTCTCTGAGACATTAGATTTTCATCCTTAGTTCTTAGATAACAGAAATGAGTCATAAGATGGCTTCTAGGTCACAGATATGGCTTAACCTGATTCCTGGTTGGCATGAGTTCTGCAGCAAAATTTAATTTGCTTTTATATATCTCATTGATACTATTTTGTTGTTCCAAAAAGAATGTAAATCCACAATTAACCTTTGCATCTTAATGAACACAAGAGGTGTCTGGAAAATAATAGATTTGGGAAATACCACAAAAACCGTGAGCATCATTCAGCTTTAAAATGAAATGTGCTTCTTGTATTTTTTTCCAGCAAATTTGAATTGCACTTTACAAAAGCATTTCTGAAAGTAAATTGTAAATTTACATGTTCACTTGGAGTGATGCATAAAAGTATACTGACAGCAGAACTAGGTATATAATAAGCAAGGAGAAAATATACCTGGTTTAACAAATCAGTTTATATAGGTAGCACTAAATTGAAACCTCAAGTATCCGAATAAAATAAGAGATGTTAAATTAGGCTGAACAGGGTTTCAGATAATGTAAAACTGGTACACTTAATTTATGCCTGACTCATTACTCTATTTTGGCTAACTTTGGTTTGTGTCTGTATTGATGCATCCAAATTGATATTCCGTCTGCTTATCTCCCTCACTAGAGAAATTACTGGAGCTACATACATTTGCATTGTACAGTTGTAAATATTAGCTGTATCTACAGTTGCTTCTTTGTAAAATTTCTAACTGTTTTATAATAACCGGTGTTGGCAAGGATCTCATCTACCCTCCATAGATTAGGCCTATTCGGCATTGTTGATATATTTTTGATGGCCACAGGAGCCTTGTTTACATTAATAGTAGGTTTCTGTGTCGCTAGCTTTTCTTGTATTCTATTTTTTAATTTGTCTGTCATAATAGTATAGGTTTTTTCCTGGTTTTAACAATCATGCCTTTTCCCTGTAATCACATATGTATTTTCAGTGAGTTGCGCATACATGTTTTGTCATTGTTTGCAACCAGTGTGTGAACTGTAATTAACCAGCATTACCACCTCATATTTCAGGGGCGAGCTGTCAAAGGGAGCTTTTTCTCTGGCCTGTACACCTAGAATCTGCTTGTGACACTGTGAGCTAAGGTATGCTGAGAGGTATTTCTCAGCCATAATGCAAATCAGATCCATTTTTTAGGGTATCAGGGGGTATCTTTGTAGAATAAAATGCATTGTAAAGTTCAGTTTTTATTTAGTTATCATATTACCTGCAGTGACTTTGCAGCGACATGACACTTCAAGAGGTTTCAGTATGACACAATGTAGTTATAGATATGCTACAGAAATCAGGAGATTTCTTTGAATTCAGGTGGTGTGCATCTTTCCTTTACATTGTACAAGGCTATGTTCCTGAGCAAGCCCTACCCACACCTTTCACTGTATGCTTTTGCACAGTTTGCCAGGAAGACCACTCTGGTGTTGACCCTAGTAGCTGCTCTCAAGACCTTGGTCTTAACAGAAGGACATCTTAGAACAGCCTCACTGGCATCTTTCTGGGTGGGGAGTATGCGAGTGTACATGGGTGGGTTGTGAACCCGTTTGGGAACAGCCTAGCTGGTATACTTTATTGCTGTGCTATATACTGTTCATACCCCCCAAAATAAAGCATGACTGATTTGAGGAGAGATTTTTAATCTCCCAGGTTTAGGACCGCTACTAATGTAATGATGTCTATCCACTCTTTAAAAGGATAACAGAAAAGGTATATAAAAACTTGATTAACTTCCACCATTGTTTTAAAACCTCCACTGTTTTAAAGCCTTTAAAGTCACTGTATTTTTTGCCATTTTTATAATAATGTTCCATATTTTGCTTGTGTTACTCATTCATAGTTATTTTTTTTCTAATATTTTTTGTGGGGGAGGGGAGGAAGGGAATGGAGGTTCATAATTTCTTCAGGACTTTGTATGTAGCTATATAAATAATTTTTATCTTGAATATTATTATTTATCAGAAGAGTGTATTGAAATTTGTATGTAAGAATATTCTTTATTTGCATGCCTAGGCAAATGGCGAACAATTTAGACAACCTAGAAACTGATTAAAATGGCTAATAAGGAATCAGAAAAAGCTTGAAGTGATGAAAAAAAATTATGATTCTGGGAGCTTCTTAAACCAGTCACAACAGGTAGGAATTGGCTAGAGAGGAAAGGCTGTGGTATTTGTAGCCAGTGATGACTAGTGTGTTGGGCTAGAGAACCTGCCTGGCATTCTAACTTGCCATAGTTGTACTTAAGGGGAACACATCACACTTTTGGGAGTTGTCAGTTTCAGGCCGAGAAGATGAGCTCCAAGAGTGAGCATGCTGTCAGAAAGAGATCTTCAGAAAAGCAGAATTACAGGTAAGCAAGTTTTCCTTATGTGCACATATGTTGCTGGGAAATGAAGTACTAAATCTTGTCTGGGGCTAGCTTGATAAATCAAAGTACAAACATAAACTATTACAGCTCCATTTACAATAGTCTGTCCCCAGGTGGAGTGAACACAATGAACATGAAAGTATGTGATAGGTCTGTTCAACTTCTTGAAGTGACAGCATTCAAATCTTAAGTTTTATGGCATAAAATAATCACTCTGCATGATCAAGTGAGGAATTTCTTCACTTCTTTTGCAACATAGTATTGTCTAAATGCTTTGTGGGTATTTTCCTCACATTTTCGGAATTACGGGTATTGGTCCGTCACTAAAGGCAAGGTATTATCTTTGAAAAATTACTTGTCCAATCTACTGGGAAATTATAATTATCAAAAAGCCTCTTAATTTTTAACTTCTGTGATATTTAAAATGGAAAATTGCAACAAAATAATGCATACAGAATTCTTCTTAGTTAAAAAAGGCATAGGTAGAAGTAGAAGACAGGTTAAGAGTGTAAAGAGGCCGTGTCTCTATTTTGATCAGACACAAATCACTTTATTCAAAGAAAGTTACATAGAGAATAAATGACCACACACTTTCCTCTACCCACTGAGCCCTACATTCCATTCTCTGATTGTACCCTGCCCAATCCCCTAATATTGCTTCAGACAGTAACCTCTATGATTAATGATAATTATATTAAATTTCTTCACTATATAGTATTTATAATCATGGTCTATACATTTTGATCTTATTTTAGACAAGTTATAAGCAACCATCCATACAGATTTTTGAGCTGCAAAAGATGCACTTACCTGTTAAATGTATGGCAGCCCACTCAGTGTTACTTGTTCAGTAAAATACCAGCAGGTTAAACTTTATAGCCAGCATGGTTATGATTTCAAAATAAGAAAGAGGTTGATATTGTAGCATCCTTGTAATAGATTTTATATTCACCATCGAGAAAAATGAAGCCTCTCAGCAGAATTATATTACAGGAATAATGATTTTTTGCTGAAAAAATAGATAATCCGGGTAAATGGAGAACAGATGCTATATATCTGTCACGGAATGATAGAAACATTTGTTAACACTGTTGATCATTTTCTTGAACATGTCCTGAATTTTAAACTGGTAAACGTGCTATTTGTATGACTTTCATATATGTGTGAGTATATGAAATGTTTCCGCATAATGCTTCTAACAGCACTAACTTTTGAGAACACTAGCCATTACTTTGGTAGTAGGGACCTTGCTCTTTTGTTTCTCCTGTTAAGTTCCTAGTTCTCTCTTTGCTGCAGTATAAAAGATAAACAACTGCATTCATGGATCTGCAAAACTATTGCTAGTGCCCAATCCCAGTTAATATGGCTGCTAATTCTGTTTCTATTCTGTCATCATAGCTGTACTTATGTCATTTTCTTCATCCTACCTATTGGGTGGAAGTTCCAGTGCATTAAAAAGGAAATATGTTACATTGATTGGTTCCCTTCCTTTTATTTCCCCTTCCACCTGACCTTGGAGCCATTTTCTTTATAAAAGATACCATGATGTTTATTTGTTGCTCCAGTTTGGTTCTCAGGTCTCTTTTGTGGTTCAGTGTCACTTGCTCCTCATTACACTTCTGCTACTACCAACTTCCACTGTTGCCAGGTGACAGGAAGTGCATGGGTATCATGTGATCAGTCTTTATTATAAACCCGTTAGCCACCTGGGAAAGCTCATGAAAGTTGCATCAAATATTTATGGTAGTGTCTGAGAATTATGCAAGAGACAAGGATTTCTTAGTGTGATCTCTTTTATTGGATCATGCATAGTTGGGATACTTAGGCAAGCTTTTGAATGCAAGACCTGATGAAGAATGTCTTGCATTTGAAATTTTGCCTAACTCTATCCCAACTCTGCAGTTCGTTCAGTTAAAGTTACCAACCTAAGAAATCGTTGCCTCTTGCATAAAATATTTAGGCTTTGCCTACATGAGCCTGTTGTGGCAGAAGTACATTTAAACCGATTTAGATAAAATAGTGCAACTCCTGTATGAACACTCTTCTTTTGTATAGGAGTAACTTGTTTCACTTTAGGTTGTCAATTGGGAGCAGTGATAAGTTCAACAAAAAAGAAACTATCTTAAACAGAAGCAAGACTGTCCACACAGGGATTTGGATTGGTTTTACAATGCTATACAGTTACCCTACTTACTGTAATTTTGCTGTCAAGATAAGGCTAAAGAAACCTAACTTGTATCCATTTTAAAAACAAACAATCGCCATTTTAAAAGCAAACAGTAAACCTGAGAAATAAAAAACTTTGTAAACACCTAGCAGCTAATGTGGATTTAAGAATAAACCAGCCAACTTTATTTCTTACTTTGACAGAGTAACTAGTTTTTTGAATGAAGAATTGTGGTGGACATAATATACCTGGACTACAGTAAGGTTTTTGGCACAGTGCCAAATGACACACATATTCATAAGTAAACTGGAGAAATGTGGCCTGGATAGAATTACTGTTAAGTGGATACATAACTAGTAGAATAAGGGCAAGTGAAACAACTATCAGAATTGATACATTTATAGTTGGGTTTAAAGTGTCATACCACAGGGGACTGCTCTGGGTCTGATGCTGTTTATTCCTGCATCCAAATCTTTTATCAAAGGGATAGCTTACTGATCAAGTTTGCAGATAACACAAAACTGGGAAGTGTTACAAAAATTTGGAGGATAGAATTAGAATTCACAAAGTTCTTAACAATTTAGACAACTGCACTTTATGTAGAGAATGAAATGATGTTCAATAGGTAGAAGTAAAATGCTACACCTCAGGGTAGGGTGACCATATGTCCCAGTTTAGCCAGGACAGTCCTGGATTTCGGAGGCCAATCCAGGCCAACTGGTGAGAATTAAAATGAGCGTCCCAGAAGCGCAGGGATGTGGGGTGCAATCTGATGGGGAGCAGTGCGGAGTGGCACGGCAAACCAGGCAGGCATCAATGCTGCCTGCCTGCCTGGTGCACCACACCACCCCATCCCGTCCTGTCCTTCCCTGTCTTCATCTCTGCCTGTAGCAGTACTGCTGACTTGGGAGGAGGGGCGGTGTGTGTCCTGGATTTCCCATTCTCCCATATGGTCACCCTACCTAGGGAAGTAAAACTACATGCATGATACAAAATGGAGAGAGGGAGCTAGCAGTGTTTACTCTGGCCTTACTCCTGACTGGAGAGATGCACCTTATGGACTAACTGAATAAGAGATGCATAAGCTTTTGTGATCCAGAGCTCACATCAGATGCTATCAGATAGTGATCTGAATACAAAAAATAGGGAAGGAAGAAAGGGAAGTGAGGTTAGGGCTAAGAAGCAAACAAATGTAATGTTTCGATAGCCTGCTTTGTGCATGTCCTTTCATGGCATCTGATAAAGTGAGGTCTGGCTCATGAAAGCTTATGTATCTCTGGCTGAGTTAGTCTATAAGGTGCAAATATGGAGTGGGCTTGACAGTAGTACTTCTGATCAAGATCTGTGGGTTATGGTGGAAGTGTCTTGTGTCTCCAGACAAGTTCTATTTTTTTTATTTATCTGGCATCTTATTCTGCTTGGGAAGTGACATAAGTATATTCTGTAATGAGTTTTATAACCATAAAATTCTCATCGATGCAGCCCTGCTTCAAGCTAAGTACACCAGTTGTGGCAGTCCTACAGCTACTCCATACTGTGTTGCTTTGCATCTTGATGAATTAGTCTCTCTGGAGACCATGAACTGCTTCATCCTCATCATCAACAGTAATTTTGTGACATCATAGAGGATGCTACTGGCTGGTTGAAACTCCAGAAGTGCTCTATCTGTATGATAGACAGTAATGATGGTTTGTATCCTGGTGTTCAGCACTGCTTCCCCCATGCTTCATGACAACAGTTTGAAAATGGTACCGACCAATTACATGAATTATGGGATATCAGGGAAAGATTGATGGGAGTTTGAGTTTGACCATAAGTCCCACAATTCCACTGGTTTTCAGTAGATTATCCCAAAAACACCACAAGAAAAATTCCCAAATTTATTGAGCCCAGAGGGAAAACATTACACCATTGAATATCAGGCCAGAATGTAGTAGAGTTATTTAAAAATGCAAAGAACTACATGGATTAAATGAATTGTGAAGGAAGTACATTAAGTCAGTTTAAACATTGCCAGGTGGTTGCATTGGTGTGGTATAGTTACACAGGTATAACTGTAGTGGGAAAACTATATCAGAAAATCTCTGCTGTGCAGAAAAATCCTGTGTATCCAAGCACAAGTAGCACAGGCCTATATGCTGTTTGTAGGCAAGCTAGCACAGACGTCTGTATTTGTATAGAATCCCAACCCTTGATGACAGTGTGGCAGTAAATGTTGTTGCTCATTTGTTAAATAGTAAATGTCTGCTTTTCATACATTTGTTACTGTTTCCTTGGATAGCGAATTGATATTTTGCTTACTTGGTGAATTTTGTTGAGGTTGGTGGTTACCATAAAGCTGTATACTGATGTATTCCGAGAGACTTTTAGTTCCTTCAGTAACTAAAAATTGGCTCTTCGTAATTCTCCTGTTGTATCATGCCTCACTTTCCCACTTTCTCTCAGAGCTAGGGAACCTTCTGTTTGACTAGTTTAGTATTTGAACCTACTGAGAGGCATTGAAGTGGCAGTTTCTGGACACTAGAAAATCATCTATATATAATTTTGAGATGCACAACAGAGAACTGCATTGCACCCCTAAATGAGGATTTATTGCACTATAAAGAACTATGTAAAGATTTAGGGACTATATCAGTCATTTTCATAATACTATTTTAATTCACAATTTACAGCATGGTTTTGAATTAAAATGGTCCGATATGAGATATAATCATTCACAGGCAAAATATTTAACATCGTTGCTGCTGGACAAAAATGCCTTTTTTGTGCTACTAGTTGAAATGAATTTTTACCATAAGGTAACTCCAGGAAATGCTACATCACATAGCTACTGGAACAATATACATTTTCCAAATTATCCTGTTAATTTTAAAATTAATGACACACCCCACCCCAATGCATTTTTGTTATGCACAGTGTACTGAAAAAAAGAACCACAATCTAAAGAAAAATAAATAGTGGAAAGGAACAGTTTGTAAATTTGCTAGTAAAACAGTTTCATTAATACCCTCTTATCTGAATACGAATGGTAAATTATAAAAAATACTTCATTTTCCACTATAACTTGCTTCCTATGACAGTAAATAAAAAAACAGGATTTCTTTTGTTTTTCTCTGGAGGAAAATGCCATCTAGTGGTAAGTGAAAGAGATTTTGAAGAAGTAAGTTTCTTTGTACATATATTTTGTATATTTTACTATAATTTGCTGCAAATTATTGTTTTTTATCTGTTCTGTTGGAAAAATTCTGTATGAAATTACTGATCTAAAGACAATGGAAATCTATTTGAAGAGTCAAATTAGATAAATTACAAATATGAATAGCAACATGAATGGAAAATGTATCTTGTCTATGCACAAAACCCTCAGAGTTCATGGGAGCTGTATCAACTTAAGTAGCTCTGTTTGTAAACCTACTTAAAGGCATAGCTTTTGTGTCAAACAGAAAATCCATGCAGCCTTCCTTAACATACTAGTAGTTTGTTGTGATTCTGTGCAGGAGGCTAGGTTTCTGTGTGGTGAGAAGTATAAGCCATTCCCTACTCTCTGAGTATGGTCAGAACAGGATTGTCATTAGGCTATATTTTATGATCTCCGAGTCCAAAGGAAAGAGGGATGGCCAAGGAGAGGGTGCACAGCTTTTCCCAAATTACTCTTAATAACAGTCCTTGCTGCTGCTCCTGTTGGACTTGCTGGGTGCATCTACACGAGATGCTAACTGCACAGTAGCCTAATAACACTGTGCAGTAGCATGCTGGGCAAAACTCATGCTAATACACTACA